CTAACCAAGTGTGGACTTAATTAAACATTCCGGCTATTAAGTATCTTGCAAGCTACTGCCACGTCATCAGCACTATGCGAAGGCCACGTCACTCCGACAGTTAAGAATTAAGAGTATTCTGGAGGGCACACGTGTAACACACATGTGTGTCCTGGTACAGTTCTATTACACATAGTACCAATCAGCCAGTTGTCCAATTATCTCTCCAATCAAGTTTACACGAGTCGCCTTATTATTAGAATAGTACATTTATTCCGTTAGACAGGTGCGACACGTGTCTTCACCGAAATAGAATAACATCTTTTTACTTGTTGGCCAAATATTTCTCCCTTAGTATAAATATCACCTTCCAGCTTGTGGAAATGGATCCGAAATTATCTGTGCAAACTTATTGTTACTCTGCTCAAATTTATGCTTGATTTTACTTAGCACCATTGTTCTAAAACTCGCTAGGCGCTAGTCGGGCGGTTGAGGAGCGCCTAGCGCGTAGGCGGCCGACTAGGCCGTTTTTTTGGCCGACTTGACCGATTTTTTGGCCGACTTGGCCGATTAGTGTTCCTGAGTTAGGCCCGACTAAGCCGCCTAGGCCGATTAATCGGTCTGACTAGGCCGATTTTTAGAACAGTGCTTAGCACTTTCAGTCTTTCCCATTTCTCGGACTCCGGCTACCCCCAGGGTCGGCGATCCATCATTCAGTTTACTAATGCTTTAGTCTTATTTAAGGAATTAACACTATGATTATCAACACCTAAATTTCTCCCTTCAATGATGTGATTATTCTAACGTTTCATTTTTGTCATCTAAACCATTCTTCTCTGAGATCTCATCTTGATGAGGTCATTCAGAATTGACTTCCTTATACAAACAAAGTTTTCCATTCAACCTTTTTTAATTAGCGTTGATTTTTCTAATCTTTTTTCCTCTTTTTTTCTTTATTTTATCCAGATTCGATCATGTTTATTACACCTTGAAACTAATTAAATGTATGAATTTAATTATAGTTGAAATTTTTTGTCTAACAAAATCAACAAATTATAACACCAACACTCAATAAATAAAAATAAAAAATTAGAAATCAAACAAGTAACTATGAGTGAAATGAATTAATAAACTTATCGAATAATCATATCAGACTAATCTGCTTCCAATTGGAATTGTTTTATCAATTTTTGTGAGCATGATTTTCATCAAATGTAGATGATCATGTACACAATATTTTAGCTTAAAATTCAATCGGGAAGTGAGTTAAATAAGTTATTGAAAAACATTGCGCCAAAATATGCACAACGAACGCAGTCTTTTTCAATAATTTAATGGGGGCTAGGGAGATGTGGTGGGGGCTTGGGACTTGGGGTGGGGAGCTGGGGCGGGGTTTGGAGCTGCGGATTGGGATGGGGGTGGGAGGGGCCCAGATGCTGTAGTGTTACCGGCGGCGAGGCTGCGATACTGGCGGGGCAAAGTCATGGCGGCGGGGCATGGGCAGTGTCCAAGTCATGGTGGTGTCACTGGCACTCCACATGTCACTGAAATTGGGCGAAAGCGGTACTTATGAAGGTGGTGATGAGCTGGAGGTTGGGGGCTCAGGTTGGAGACTGAGGGCTAAGGTCGGTGGCTGGTCGGTGGCCTGGGTAACTATTACCGGAATTATTGTGACAGGTGTCACTGTGAAAGTGTCATTGTGCCCAACGATGGTCACCGGCCGGCGGTGGTCGATGACCGATGGCGGGTGTCACTGTGGCGGGTCATGTAACTGCAAAATAAGGATAATTTAGTAAGTTTAAATCTTATTAGTCACATTTCTTGATATTTTTAAAACATGTTATTTTTTGTCAAATAAGGGAGAACTATAAAATAAGCCCTCGAACTTTCATAAAAAGTGCAAATAAGCCCTTTTATATGAGGCTCTGTCCGGCCATCGCCATTTGAGGCGGTTTCCGGTGGAAATTTTTAATGAAATTTTTTGAGAATCTTTTTCATTAAGTCTAGTTTACTCATACCAAATTTCAGCTAAACATTCAATCGTGAAGACAATTAAATGAATTTTTGAAGATAACTGCGCAGTTAGACAGCGCAATATATTTCGGAAAATCATTTGACTGCCTTCTAGATTGAATTTTTAGCTAAAATTTGGTATGGCTAAACTAGACTTAATGAAGAAGATGCTCAAAAAAATTCATCAAAAAATTCCACCGGAAACCGCCCCAAATGACAATAGCCGAACAAAGCCTCATGTAAAAGGGCTTATTTGCACTTTTTATGAAAGTTCGAAGGCTTATTTCATAGTTCTCCCATTATCCTTTTTTTAGTAATATTTTAGGCAAAAGCCCTTGTCCCGCTATTCACTTTTGATGCAATTCAAATTTCAGTGTGTTTAACAAATAAAACAAGTGAAAGAAGAAAGTAGAGAAACCATATTAACCAACATGGAGATTGGAGAGAGAAAACTGAATAATAGAAGTTGTTTTCATGTTATTATTATGTTCCGCATATCTGGGTTTTAAATTAAGAGTATGACCACGTTTTTTATTGGGAAAGCACCAAGAGAAGGTACTTCAATGCCGATCCATGGTATTACCAAAAGTTCATTAAGATGTCCAGTGTGCAAATATTTAAAGGGTTTTGATGGCCAAATAAATCACGTGTTGAGTCCATTCTCTAAACGTGAACAAATTTTAGATCCTGGGTTGGGCACATAATAAAGCCAAAAATCAAATGACCCCCACCTCCTCCATCCCTTTTATTTGAATTAATTCCACTTTAGGTCCTCCGAGTTTTGTGTCATTTTCATATTTAGTCCTTATCTTTCACTTTATCTATTTTTGGTACCTGACAATTGTTTTCTTGACCATTTGTGGTCCATTTCTGAGCATTTTACTATCAGAAAAGGACTATAAATGGTCAAGAAAACAATAGTTAGGTACCAAAAATGGATAAAATGAAAGATGAATACTAATTGTGAAATTGGTGCAAAACTGGAAGGACTATAAGTGGAATTTCTTCCTTTTATTTTTCTATACCTTTTGCTTCACCTTCTACTTGTTGCAATTTGCAAAAGTGGTAATTTGCTATCACCCAACCAACACACGCTAGAACTTTATTCAAGATTTAATTTTACTTTCTAATAATAATACTTTACTTGTGAAAGAATAATCAGATTTTTAAATATGAATAAATCATATACTTTTATAATTTATACTTGGGAAAATCCCTGAAATATGAGTAAAAAAGTTTGAAAATTTTAAAATAGAATTGCCATATTTTTATTCCCTAAATATGATTAATTACTGTCAAATCCGAAAAAAACTACCATGGTTAAAGTCTGGTACTGCTAAAACATGACATTAATGGCCACTTGTTTTTCAATTAAGAGTGCTTAATGATTTCGGCCCATTCCCCTCCCATTTTTACCGCCTGCTTTTTTGGGAAGTTAGCCTCACCTTTGTGAAAGTATTTTTGGAAAGTCAAATCCATTTTTTCCCTTCTCTTAATTAGCCCAAAGTCAAACTATGACAAACTTTGAGGGATAGAGGAAGTATGTATCATTGAGTTAGATCAAGGACGAATCCAGGATTTCGACTTAAGGGGGGCCAATTTTTTTCGTTAACATAGGGGTGAATATTTTTCGTTTGTGTAGTGGGGCAAATTTTTCCACTAGTATATATAGTGGCTATTTTTATTTTAAAAAACATTAATGCATACACAACGACATTTAAATATATTACATTCTAAGTTTTGACATGAAAAATTATGATGTTATAATTATTGAAGTGCTCTGAAAAAAGTATTGGTAGATTAAAACACAAGAAATGACAAATCAAAGGAAAATTATTTGAAAATAAAAAGGACAAATAACATTTTATCAAATTATTTGAAAATAAAGAGTTTAAAAGCTACAAATCAGACAATACTTTTTAAATAACTTTTGTCCTGTTTAACCACATAAATCTTATTAGAATAGAAATTTGGTTTTTGAATTGTAATTTTTGTCTACCAAGGAGGGTGTTTGTGAGTTACGAGAAATTTTCTTAATAATACAATAGTATGTATGATCGAGATTATTTAATTTAGAATAAAATTATATTGCTAATTCATATAAATGGTGCATATTATATTTGTATTAATGATAAAATAAGTTAAAGTTTATTATCTTTGCAATGAATTGTTTTTAGAACGTAAGAAGTAAATGAATTGTGTAAATTAATGTTAACAAACATTTATAAAATATTTAAGATTCATTTTATATGATCTAAAAATTGTTTAACTAGTGTGTCTGGTATTGAATACAGTTTAATACATTCAAATTAAAATTGAGTACTAATTGCATAGTATTATCTAATAAAGATGATGGAGTATATGGACTCCGACCCCCCGGTCTGCCGACTATTGGGCTTGGACAGCGGCCCACACGCATTTAGCGGATATCATTCATATTATTGTACATTATTATTATTCAGATGTTCTAGATTAGTTTTTTGTATTATCAGTCCATTTATGTAATCGGATCTGTCAGACACATATTAGAGGCTCAGACCCGGAATTTCCATATATATACCCCTTATGTAAAGCTTGTAAACACACAACTCAAATATACAACCAATATTAATTCATTCATTCTATACACTTCTTCTCCTTCTCCATTCTTGAGCTAAATCTCTACTAGTTTATACAATATGGGTATCAATTATCCAACAAAAGATAATTAAACATTACAAAATCGGGAATTTTTATATAATAAGTATCCTATGTCCTAACACAATGAGTTCTTCTATTGTGTATTTATTGAATAATGATAAATCATTTTAGACATTTTTATTTTAAATCTCCTATTAAGTATTGTGCTCCGTATTATATAAGGATATATATTAATTTTGGAAAAAAAGTTAACAGGGACGAACACACATATATAAATATATAGAATTAAACTATGAAAATATTTCATATATAATAGAAAATTTTGAAATTCAGGGCGGTTGCCCCCCAAATTTATTGAAATTCAACGCCTGAGTTAGATGAATCGCAGCTTCATTCATATTTGAGCAGTGTGATATGATTTAACACTAATTGCAATCAATCAACAAAAAGATTACATCACATATGCATCTGATATGTAAAGTTGTGTGAATTATTGCATGAGCATGCGCTTCGATCGACCTCCCCACCGGCCACTTAGTCGGTCCAGTTATTACTTTACTATATATATAAAGTCCAGTTGTGGTTCTCCAGATATATATTAGGTTTAGCTTGCTAGCAATTTAAGGACACCCATTCCCTTGATTCATTGTCTTATTGAGGATCTTGAATGTTTTCTACTCTACCAAGCGTTTGAGAAAGTCCATAACCTGCCACATCAAGTAATTATCCCAAGAATCAATGACCAAACTAATACAATAATTATATATATGTCTAATTTGGGATGTCGTATTTCAATAAATGATTACTTGAAGATCCAACTCAAGAGATCTGTAATCCTTTTGTGTTTAATCGGTCAATTAGATTAGATTAACTAATTACCTCAAATGGGTCCTTGAGAGAATATGAAGCATTCGTTTCTTTGGGAGATTCCGAGACTAAGATTCCAATGCCGTGTCCTTTTTCTCGCAAAACCTAGTAAATAATCCCATTTAAGAATGCCAAGTCCAATCGTCAGTTTTTAAGATTGGTCTTAGACATATGATGAAAGTATATTAATAGATAGTCTTCATTTAAATTATTCTTGAGAATTGTGATAAATATAGAAGTTCCCACATTACTATATCAATTTTTCTGTCATAACATAAAAATGAAGCACAATAGTTGCACTTTATCATGTATGGAACCATTAGTACACATTAACATTAATCATGAGTATATATATACACACACACATACATATTCTAGCTAGGCTCATTATTTTGTTAGAACATGTATTATTATATTATCCATTTTTATTAGAACATGTATTATTATATTATCCATTTTTATTCTAGCTAGGCTCATTATTGTTGATTACATAAGCTCATTGTGTGCATGTATTGTGATTGCACAAAACATGCACAATAATTGCACAAGACAAACACAATAGATTGATTTAGTTTATAGTACGAATGTAAAGAACATTTTTTAGTACTGCGTATATAAAATGTATCTTGTGTGAATTAAAGAGTTCATACTTTAAAGGCATCTTCATCCGTGAGATCATCACCAATGTAAATTGGGAAAACATCAGCACAATTTGTAAAACCCAATGCTTCCAACAAAAACACCAATGCCCTTCCCTTGTCCCAATCAATAGTGGGACGAATCTCTATAACCTGTAATACGTACAGAGTATATGTACAAAAAAGTTGACATGCTAAATCATGTATTAATAACTTGAGATTTGATATTAAAAAGTCTTAATATAGCATTTTATTAGAGAGTACTTGATTATTTGGTTTTGCATGAAATGTCAACACATTCTAAAGAGAGAGGGGACATCATGTTAGAAAGTACTAGTAATTATTATGTTGTACCTTACTCCCTCCATATAATCCAAGCTTTGGGTAGTCATTGGTCACAGCTCGTACTAGGACACGAAGCTCACTCCATTTCTGATGACAAAATGTTAAAAACAATTCTTATAAACGGAGTATTTAATTTGTGTGTAGATGTACTCATGTACGTACATTAAACTAAAAATAATTGGAAGTAAATATACTAAAAATTTTGTACCTTTTTCTCAACACAACGATAATGCACGGACAAGCAAAACTTTTTCTTTTCTACTCTAGCTCCTGGGATAGATTTGGTTTTGTCCAGTAATACTTTATATACCTGAAAGTGAGAATTTTATTTATATATTTATATGATTATATATGTATGTGAGTGTGTTTAAAATGGAAAGCTAGCTAAGAAATGGGTTATATAACCTATAGAAAAATTACCCCATATGGGACTAAAAGAGGGGAGAAATTCTTAAATAGGATCATATATGTTTTATTCCCCAAATAAGATCATATTACTCCTATTTTGAAACCTACATAATTTCTCGTTCCATTTTTATCCCTCTTTAACCGATTCTACTGCGCAGACCTTACCCCTCTCTCTCTCCTGCGCACCATCCTCCATATCCCATTCTTTTCAATCTATTTCTTCTCCATTACATAGCATCCATTGCATAGCAGATCCACTCATCTCTCCTTCTACAATCTATTTCTTCTCCATTGCACAACAGATCGATCGTCTGCTCCATCTTTGCACATCAGATCAATCAATTTCATCACAATGTCTTTACGCCATCGTCAATTTCATCCTTAGCCGCCGCCGCTGACGACTCCACCGCGCACACGCCGCTGTTTGGTAAGGTTTCTTCCTCTTCTTCCTCTTCTTCTTCTTCCTCCTCCTCCTCCTCATCTTATTCCTCCTCCTATTATTCTACGGAGTATTTTTTTGGCTTTGAAACTGATTTTTCTGAGTTTTTCTCCATTCCTATTTTTTGAGTTTTGACATTCAATTTGTGGATTTTTGGACTTCTATTTCAAATTTTTGTTTCCTGATTGCTTGATTTTAAAAGAAAATCAGTTTTCTAGATTTTTGGACTATGACATACGATTTTGCCATGTTTATAGCATATTTTTGGATGATGATATACGATTTTCCCAAATTTATGACAATCATATTATGGCAAAACACTTTTTGTGTAAATCATTTTTTTTTATTTTTTGTCATTAAATTCTTATTTCTGTTAAAGTTATTGTTCTATTTTTTTTGAAAATTTAGTAGTGGACTTCATATTTTGCCAAGATTATGACAGTTTTGTGTAAATCATTCAAGATAAATTTGACAAATTTATGGCAGATTTGAAAATTTGTTTTCAAGGCAGATTTTAAGTACTCTTCAAGGTCAAATCTGCCAACTTAATGGCAAATTTACGGTGGTGGGCTATGATGGTGGCGGCCTTGGATTGAACATCGGCGGCAATGATAAAGATAGGATGGCGGCGGCGCAGGCGGATGGTGACACCGTTTGGGCGGCGACATATGGAAACGATGCACCGACAGGGATGCGGCGGGGGGCGGCAAGGACGACGGTCGAAGGCGGCGACGGCATTCGGCGGCGGCGGCGAGGGTAGCGGCAGTCGGCGGCGGGCGGCTCCGGATCTGGCATGTTGCTGCTAGCAGTTGACAATTTAGGATTTCAACAGGTTTTTATTTTTCTTTTTCAAAATCAAAAATATTAAAGGAGAGTTATTTTTGTCCAACTAAGTTGAAATTGGTCCTATGAAACTTGTGTTTCGTTTATAGTCCTAAATGTGCAATTAACTTTGCTATTAGTACTATTTGGGACATTAACTCTAACTTATAAGAACCGATGACAAGGTTTCAGCTTTTACCATTTATATTTATATTATTGAAGAATAATACTCGCAACATTTTAGTACGACATACGCTTACTCACGAGTGACAAGGAAGCTAGAAAAGCAACCAACCTCTTCAATCATGGGTATAAATTCTATGGCTGGTTGGTGGAGAACAGCCTGCAAATCCAATTATTTCAAAAGTCATTCCTTATAATTAAGTTCCTTCGAGAATCAAGATGAAAAGTTTTCACTTTGACTTCTCAGTATATTTTTACTGTTATATTAGAGTTAATTACTTCAAAATTAATTACAAAATTACTCCAATGACCTCTTTGACCATTTTCTGATAATGATGAAACACCTAAACATATACCTAATTAATGTAATACTTGCAGGTCATTTTGTCTTTTCTTCATCAATGATGGTTCACTACAAAAAAATGCGCGATTGATAAATATTTTTGTCAGGGCTTCACCGAAATTCATAGAGAATTTGGTAAGGATATGCCAAATCCATACCAAAAACATTTTATCACAAGTTATTTGACATGAAAGCATCAGTCAATCCGTGCAAAATTGGTGCCAATTATGTGTCAATCCCGTAATTTTTTGTAACATTATGTTTCGCAAATGATATCTCTTAATTCAAAATTATTTAAAATAAAAAAATTATATTGAAGTATTCTTTGTCAAAATCATTACCCAAAGTTTATTATCAATGATCAAGAAAAGTTATACACTAGCATAAAAAAATACACATGACTAAGAAAAGTTGGCAAAAAGATTTCGGACACGTGGAGTATTATATATACTTGGTAGTTCGAGGTATATATTATTCCTACCTGCGTATTTCCTTCTGCTGGACCCTTAATGTCCATTCCATGGCTTCCAGCATAGTAAAGTTGTGATAGCTGCACAAAATCGTATACCTGAAAATGTTGTTAATGATAAAAATTAATAATCTTTGATCCGACCACTTCAAACTAAACATGCAAGATACAATTTTGTTTACTTAAAGGGCAATAAATAAAAATCAACCCATAAATTATCACCTTTTCCGTGCACCTTCCACTCACTATAGCTGTAGGGAAATGCATTGCAATGTTCCTCAGAGCTTCTCTCATCTAAATACATATATTTCGAAAAAAAACATTTTATTTTGTACATTATATTAGCTAATTTAATAAACAAAAAAATATACTAGTATATAAGAAGAAAATCAAGAACGGCAGCTAAAGATCGAATCAGTAATTAACCTCATTGGTCATGTAAGCTAAGTCAGGGTCTTCAACAATGGAGGAAAGTGTACCATCATAATCAAGAAACATAGATATCTTCTTTCCTTTCGAAGATCTCACTATTTCGTCAAAATTGCTAAGAGCAGAAGGGTGACTCAACTGTACATTTATATACGGAAAATGTTTTCATTTTAACATAAATAAATAAATTCAAAGAAAAATAGGGTGTGGAATTATAATGTACTATTATTGTTACTATTATTACTTCATATTTTATTACTTAAAATAATAAAATTATTAAATCTAAAAAACTAGAAAATGAAAATTATAAATAAATTCCTAAAGTGAATGAGAATAAAATTAATTTTATCGGAGGTGCAATGATTATTACCGGATGTGCAGTAATGTTGTGAAGTAATGTCGTGCATGCAGTAACCACAATATACAGTGAAGTAATTTTAATTGGAAAAATTTAGTTCAAAATGCAATATTTTAAATAAGAGCATTTTCACCATTCAACATATAAATATAAAGAAGATTTTTTTTGGATTTTTGATCATACAAATGCCTAAATTAATCATATTTAGGCAAACTCAATAAATTTTAGTCATATCCTAAGAAATTTCCCTAAAAATTAAACTTAATGTCAAAAATATAATTGAAGTTATTACGGAGTATAATACTACGTACAACGTTACAATCACTTCATTAAACAAAAAATAGTCACAAAAAGTTATTATTAAGATTATTACAACCAACTTTGACGAATGTATTTTTCAATATGAAATTATTCTAAATATGAAAATTATATGAAAATGTTTCTTATTCAAAAATATTTTCATAAAACTATAAAATTAATAAAATTATACATAGTAGACAAATATACTGAAATCATTTTCCAAAATTTGTTATTGTTGATCAAGCAAAGTCACGATCTTTTTCGGGACGGAGCCACGGAGGCAGTACGGTATGTCATTATTTATTATATACTCGGTATATGTTGTTGGTTAGTTGTGTATTGTGCCTAGTTTTGCTTATTATAAATAACATACTGAGTATGTATATATATACGAGTATACATTTGGAAATTATGCAGCCATGCAGGAGTATATTATACGAAGTATAAGGATCATATGGTTTCAAATGAAAAAACTAACAATCCAAGAATTGCTTAGATCATGGGACTGGCAGGATGTGGGCGAAGATTCCTCGGACGTGGATTCGAACAATGCCGCAGTGGGGATTTCCACCTTAAAACTGCCACCAAACGGTGGTCCAGCCGGCAAGGCTGCACTTTCCACGGCGGCTACGTCGGATTTGGGAACTGAAACAACCACTTGCTGGATATTAGTCATTTTCAGATGAGAATGCTAGCTTTTAATTGGAGAAGGAGATGAGAGGAATATACGGTAAAGAAAGCAGGTGATGTGGAGGCAGGAGGCAGAGGCTGGTTAGTATATATAGAAGAGAAAATGGATGCCCGGATCTGCACTGAGCTGGTAATTAAAAGCAGGTTACCAGCATGGTAAAGGCGTAGGCCTGGAATATAAAGCCGGGGCCCCAGACGGAAAAGCAGGAGGCCCGCAAGAATCATCTGTCTTTTCCCCTCGATCTTCCACGCACCAGTCACACGTTTTTTTCAAACCAGTTCCTTATTAAAAGAAAATTCTTTCAAAAAAAAATTCTTTAAATAGTACAATACGTAATAAAACACTAAAACATTGTGAAATGGCACAAGTGGAATTAATTTCGGAAGTTTCAAACTTTAATGGAATTAATTACGGGAGTTTTAAACTTTAATATGATGTTATGGACAAATGTTTGTTTAGGGTTTACCAAAAAATGAGAGTCGGAATTGCGCGTTCCGACAAGAGAGATGGGTTTGAAAAAAAATATGCATCCCCTCCTGTCGGATATGCCACTTCCGACAAGGCAGGGGTTCTTTAAATGAAAGTGACTTGACTGAAAGTTTATCCAAATGTTTAAAAATTTGTCCAACTTTTAAATTTAAAACTTTATCCAATTTTTTTTAAAGTTTATTTGAAAAAAAAACTAACTCCTGTCGGATTTAAGAGTTCCGACTGCAGGAGTTTGATTGTTATATTTGATTTTATTTTATCTGTTATATTTTATTTAATTATATTTTATCTATGACGTAGTATATTTTATCTAATTAGTTTTATCTGATTATATTTATTTTGATACAATTTTATCTGATTATATTTTATCTCATTAATTTTATCTAATTATATTAAGTAAATCATTGTCAATTTTACAACTCGTGTTCATCATATAGGCTGATTACATTTCAAATGATCGTATTCCTATTGGGTCGAATAGGCGTATTTATGATCCGGGTCTAAAAATATGAATCACAAGTGTGAATATTAAAATTTCATCTATATATTAAGTAACTCGTGGTCAATTTCACAATTCATGTTCATAATATATGCTAATTGCATTTCAGAAGATTGTATCCATACTGGTTCGAATTGGGGTATTTATGATCCGAGTCTAAAAAATGTGAATCACAAGTGTTAATATTAAATTGTCATCTATATATTAAGGAACTTGTGGTCAATTTTACAACTCGTGTTCATGATATAGGCTGATTGCATAAAATTCGAATGATTGTGCCCTTATTGGGTCAAATTGGAGGTTTTATGATCTAGCTATAAAAAAAGTGAACCACAAGTATGAATATTAAAATTCCATCTATTTGTTAAGTAAATCATTGTCAATTTTACAACTCGTGTTCATGATATAAGCTGATTACATTTCAAATGATTGTACCCCTACTGAGTAGTCATATTGGGGTTTTTATGATTCGGGTCTAAAAAATGTGAATCACAAGTGTTAATATTAAATTGTCATCTATATATTACGGAACTCGTGGTCAATTTTAGAACTCGTGTTCATGATATAGGTTGATTGCATAAAATTCGAATGATTGTGCCCTTAATGGGTCAAATTGGAGGTTTTATGATCTAGGTATAAAAAATGTAATACTCCCTCCGGTCCTTATTAAACTTTACACTTTTTTTTAGCAGTCCCGTATTAAACTTTACACTTCCTTATTTGCTTTATTTGGCAAACAAATCTACACCAAACAGTGTCAAACAGTGTCAAACAGTGCCAAACAGTGTACTCTACAGTAAAGTCAAATTTATTTCCTTAATATATGTGAAGTCAAAGTGTAAAGTTTAATAAGGACCGGAAGGGGTAACAAGTATGAATATTAAAATTCCATATATTTGTTCAGTAAATCATTGTCAATTTTACAACTCGTGTTCATGATATAGGCTGATAACATTTCAAATGATTGTATCCCTACTGGGTTGAATTACGGTTTTTGTGATCCGGGTCTAAAAAATGTGAATCACAAGTGTTAATATTAAATTTTCATCTATATATTAAGGAACTCGTGGTCAATTGCACAACTCGTGTTCATGATATAGGCTTATTGCATAAAATTCGAATGATTGTGCCCTTATTGGGTCAAATTGGAGGTTTATGATCCAGGTCTAAAAAATGTGAATCATAAGTATGGATATTAAAATTCCACCTATATGTTAAGTAAACCATTGTCAATTTTGCAACTCGTGTTCATGATATATGCTGATTACATTTCAAATGATTGTATCTTAAAAAATGTGAATCACAAGTGTGAAATCTACCACAACTCAGTCTTGCTGGACTTCGACCTCTTCTGATACTCTGAAATCTTTTTAGGTAAGATCTCGTCTTGTTTACTAAGAACTTAGTGGTATAGCTGACTTGCCAGCTTCTCACAGACCTGACATTTAATATATGGAATGTCTTCTTTTCTTGCCATGCCTACGGGCTTCTTTGCACCCTCTGAAATTGGTAGCCATGATAATGACGAGACTAAACAATTTATGATTCCTAACACTACAAATTTCTGAAATTCAAACATTTTTCTTCTGTAAAACAAAAAAACTCCGTTTCTATCGCCAACTTCAATTTCATCTCCAGATTATTTTTGTTATTAAAGCTATATTAGTAGCTAGAAAACAACTTTAAAAACTACATATAGAAGAGGACAAGGACAACATGGGTGGAGGGGACAACTTCCCCTGAAGTCCCTACTACTTAGATTTGATTGTTGTTTATTAATTTTTACTTCTGAAAAATGTGGTTGCTCAATTTCAGTTTCCAGCTATCTTGAGTGGTGTTTTTGGTCTTGGTACTAAAAAAGATGAGAGCTCCAAAGGCTTCAGGACTGGGCTTGAGAATGAAGTGAGGATGTTGGCTGCGAACACCGGATATGAGGAAGTTGAATTGACATTACTTGTTTCCTCCTTAAGAGGGGGAAGAGAAGGAGACTCCTATCCAGTGCTGAGGGTATGGGATGTGTTTCTTTCAAAATTCCCAGGTTGGGTCAGTAAAATTTGCTAAACAATAGTGACATTTCTCATATATAACATTGTTTTTTAGTTGGAGAGGGGTAATAATAACAAGGTTATTGGCTTTGTTTCGGCCCCATGAAAGTTCTTTGTCAAAAGTGTACAATTCAATCTTAGCAGCGGGAGATAGGTACATTGCAAACTCTCTTTTTTCTAGGAAAGTGAAGTTTTGATCCGAAATGCAAATGTATTTCTTGGCCATGAAAATGTGTTAATCATCAATTATATATATATATTGTGATTCTTTTGTTTGTGGTTAATTAGTTTATTGTAAAACATATTCCTGTCACCTTATTTATTTCATGATTTTCCTACTCCTAGGTGTTCTTGTATAGGTGTTTGATTTTATCAACTTTAGAGAATGTTGTTCTAAAGTAACTACTTAAGGTATGCTATGTTCTTTCACTGTTTGGTCTATGACATGCCAAAATGTGTAGTGTGAAATGGTGTAAAAATGTGGATGGAAATGATGTTTTAATTGGCTTGTAATGATATAGTATAGAGTAAGTGAGTATCGTTCCGCTAGATAATGGCTCACAAAGAGAACTATAATTAATGATTGATTTTTAGCTAATCACAAATTAATAACATTTTGCAATGGGGCTAAGTGAATAAATTTTTTTTGTTATCTTGTTTTTTATAAATGCGAAATTGCTAGGGAGTAAAATAAATCACAATACCTCGTAATTTAACAATTAATGATAGAGAAAAATAGGCTTGGGCTAAGAGTAATTTTATTTTGATGTTCATAATAATAAAGATTTAACTAATTAACTTAGTTACTTTTAGGTGTGTGAAAGATTTACAAATGGTAATCTTCTAATCGTTCCCACGACTTAGTTGATTACACTATCTTAAATTAATTGCGCTCCCGCAGTAATTTTATTAAGACAGTAAAAAGTACAAAATCAAATTATCCTAAATTCCTTAACACTTCCGTGTAGCAATTTAGTGGGTGAATTAACAAAAAGTATTTTAATGAAATTTCACTCCCGTGATAATATTCATTTCTCATTATTCAACCCAGCACTCCTAAAATTAACCAATTAATAGTTTTAACCAATTATTATCATATGAACATTAATAGTAAAAATTACATCTTGCCCAAGCCTAAACTTAATTTAGTTACACATAATTACGGTAAACAAAATGAAAGCAAAATTCATGAAAGACATAATAAATTTAACAGATTAAAGAAATTAAAGTGAGTGTTTAAGTAAGAACCTGAAGGCATAAAATAAGGAAGAACATAGATGGGCTGGAATAGAAAAACTGAAATCCTTATATTAAGCTGGAACTGATTGAACGAACTGATAAACCCAAATGAACTTCAATACCAAATATCACAAGCTAAAATTCTGGAACTGAGAATTATAAACTGAATTCTATACAGAAAGTGTTCTTGGCAGAATCACTTTTATTATATGGCTACTAATACTTCGTATAAACTAAAGAAAAGAGAAGAATGATTTCTATCCGAACTTGGTGTCCCTTGAAGCTCCTGGATGACTCCTTTATATAGTATCACAAGAAGGGTATGGATCAGAAAATATCTCCGAATGAAGATAAAAATCATTGAATTTGGGCGGCCACTGATTTGAATCTTGGTGTGAAAGCTTATTTCTCATTTTCTTTCTGCAAATAGCACCGACCGTTGTCCAGTTGTGTATTTTTCTTCGTTGGAGCCTGTTCTCTTCTGTTCGCCGAGTGAAAGATGATGAACAATGTAAGGAATAATTGTAATTAGATTTTGATAATGCTATACTAATTAGGAATTTAGAGTACCCCCTCTTTAGACTCAATGTATTAGAAAATTTCCTTGTAAAGTTTCTTAGAATAGTCGACTGACAGAGGACCTCCTAACAGAAGACCATTGGCTCTCTGTTGATTCTTACTCCGACAGAATACCTCTGGATCTCTGTTGGACAGCACTACAACAGAAACCCTCTTCAAATTCTGTTAGCTTACTTCTGACAGAAGACCTAAAGGACCCTCTGATAGCTTTTCAAACAGAAGTGCTCGAAACCTTCTCTGAGAGAC